ATAATGTTAGCCAGCACATGTCAAGGTTCAAAATGTGTTTGGGTCGGTCGAATGAAAAACTGCTATTGGTTCATAAAATCGTTGACAGTCAGCTAGAAGAACTACTAGATATATGTCTGCAAGTCTTTGTTTATGGCATAGATGCATTCACTCTGTGTAATCTCACGTATCTATTCAACTCATGTTGTCACTATTTATTTTCCCTCAAATTTTCGCTCGTTAAACTTCCATTTAGTTTTATGTCTCTACTTTTGTGTGGTGCATGGAATGTGGTAAACTGAACAGTTGGACTTCTTTGCAAAGTCATACTGAAAGTCAGGCAGAATGACACAGGCTAGGCATAACTAAATGCGAAACACTGAATAATGGTCTCCAGAATGTCAACAAATGATAATTGCAGTTCTTAATCTTGTTCTTTGCTAAATTACTCGGAACCGAAAATGGTGCGAACTACTCCACTAGATGTAATACCCTAGGACTAGAAACACTATGGCTAAGACGCCTGAGACTAAACTTAACACTTTACTATAAGCTTCTAAACCACTTAGTTTTTACCTCTACTAATGGCACTCGACTTTCAGTTGACAATGGCTACAAACTAAGACACACTAAGGGTACAGTAGCTATCGAACAATGTAAAACAGCCTCCAGGCAAAAGTTTTACTTGATTAGGTATGCACAGATATGGAATAAACTACCAATGGAAATGCGTCAAGCAAGTACATTGGCCTCCTTCAAAAAGGTGCTTAATGACAAACTACAAGAGTTTGCAAACGATAGTAGTTCTAGTTCCTATCTGAGAGCCTCCGAAATTATAGGTCCATTTAATGTATAAGCTTAAATACTACACCTGTTGTTTTTTGCCTATATTTATAATTCTAGATAAAACATTAACGGTTAAGATACGTATCCTCAAACAGACAAGAAATCTCGTTTGTAAAACTACTACCCAACACAATAAGTGGAATAAAATGGACATAAACCGACAACATGAAAGAGGTATAACTCACCACAACATCACATGGACAGATGTGCGCTCGTTGGGCACCATATATCCGTCACCAACTGCAACCCACCTTTCCTTAGATAATTTAATATTCTCAACTGCTGTTGGAACAGGTGAAATTCATAAACCTTCCTCATGCTAAGAAAATACCCACAAGCAGTAGAAATCCATTAATTAATGCGTCTGAAGCTTGTGTATTTACTCCCAACAATGACATTGCAGATCAAATGAGATAAACATATCACTGATTTCAAAATAACACATCAATGAACTATAATTCAAGGATTCTGCACACAACAAAGTTATGTATGAAAATTGACTTCAAGCTTTATTTTTTTCCCAGGCACTTATAATCCATCCACCAAAGACCTGGTTTTTTTGTTAATGCGAAGACAATACTTCTGTATTTCCTGATGTGTTGCACTCACTGACAATCTAGCAGATTTTTCCAACTGTGCACAGAAATGATTGTATATAAGTGAAAAGGCTGTTTTATACTACTGGGATTAACATTTATCAAGTGTATGTAATATCTCCAGCGGACATATAAAGCATATCTTGTTGCAGCGTGTAAATTTTGATTGAATTATATGGCTCTATTTCTGTAACAATTTGATGATGCCTGTAAACTGGCGTCCCTCATGTACTGTACTATGAGAATAAATTTATTTATTTATTCATGTGCGTAAAGAGGGAATATATTATTGTAAGACGCATTTTATTGTTTTATGAGGGACTTGACTTCAAGCTTTATTTATTTTCCTAAGTATCTGTAATCCATCCAACGCATACTTGGTTTTTTTTTTAATGCGAAGTCAATATCTCTACATTTCTTGGTGTGTCCCATTGAATAACCAGTTATCCGATTTTTCCCACAAACTGAAGATAAAATGACAGCAACCATGTTATTTAACCGTATTCCATGTAATTTAAATATGTAACTTAAATAATACTTATCCATGGCTTTACAACTTGTGTGTCCTGCATTTGTAGGAATAATTATGTACCTTATTATATTATCATTAGTGACTATACTTACTATTCGTATGTGTAATTTATCGAATTGATGATGCCTGTAAATTGGCGTCCCTCATGTACAAAAATGAGAATATATTATTATTATTAAATGACAAATAAATACCTTTCAGTAACATCTTCATCCACCCGGGATTCGTCTCCTACTTTGCAAGTGTTTTTTGTGCTTTATCACTTTTGTGCTAAGCTTTAAGTTATTCAACATATGCCGTTATTGACTAAGGACCTAGATGATATTAGTTGAGTAAGGTTTCGGTCGTGCAAACACGAGTCCTGTGCAGGTGATTGGTTGCATTATCATTTCCCAAATGGTATACAGCATACTGTATATTAGGGTAAGTCTTCCGCCTTGCTTGCTGAAGGTTGTGTTCCTCAGGGTACTGTCATCTCTCCTTTTCTTTTTTCTCTCTCTTGTCTTACATGACTTTTCTCTTTCTAATGAGAGCAACTTCGTCAAATACGCTGGTGATCTGACCGTCTCACTTCCTATCATGTCACAATGTGTCACCAGGAGGACTTTATTTTTGAGTTTATTTGTATATATACTATTGCGCATCGAGTTGCACTGCGATTCCACATGTAGCAGAAGATTATGAATACCTTGCTCTTCTCTTCTGCATAAGAAAGTTACTTCACAAGAACCGCTATATTTAACTCAGTAAGGAAAAATATGAATTTCTCCACTTCAGTGTTGTGAGTTAATTTGTGAACTGTGTAGGCCCCTAAAGTAATGCATTCGGCGTGCATGCTGAATAGTGAAATCAGGAGTGTGCATGTTGTACTAAATCTTCTGCGCTTTCTGTATGGATTCCATGTTCATGAATTGACCACTTAACAACTGCTGAGTGTTGCATGTGATCCAGCTGAAATTATAACTGATAATTCCAAGAATTTCTGTCGTTTTCATCGGCAGCGGTTCATAGCCTATTGATTTTACACAAGTACAATACCCATTGCTCACTTTAATGAGGAGACATTAACCATGATTCCAGAAAAGTAGTACGTCAGTATGTGAATTTCATGAATCTGTAGATTGCATTCCATTCACTTAATACTGAAACTAAACTATGAGGGAACTGATATTTCCAAGAATGATATAATACAAGGCTCATTTCTACAACTGCCGTCCTTATTTTAGTTCACTTTCATCATACATGTATTAACAAAATTGTGTGTCACTCACTTCAGGGACTTACCAGGGAAAAGTCTTGTCAACTTAGTGTATGCTAATGACATTGTCCACCTAGGTTGTGAGAAGTGACCATTGAAACTGGAAGATACGAAAAGACTACTGGTTTTTGATCGCAGTGTCTGTGCCCTTTCTTCTGTGTTAAGTAGTCTAAAATGGTGAGTAATATTGGGGTGAAGCTTAGTGTTAAGTAGAAATGTGACTTCAAACGTTGTTTATAACACAGATGCATTCACTCTGTGTAATCTTACATATCTGAGCAACCATTGTGTTCTTTCCATATCACTGTTCGTTTTCCGTGACATTTATGCTCATTAGAGTTCCATTTGATTTCTTTTTTCTCTACCTTTGTGTGCTACATGGAATGTGATAACGTAAACAGGTGCACTTGTTTGCAAGCTTCTCTGTTGAAAGTCAGTCTGTCAGAATGATCTATAGTCCAGGTATAATGAAATGCTAAAACGTGGATAAAAATAAGCAAAATGTCAACAAATGATAATCGCATTTTTTTATTCGGTTCTCGTCTAACTGAAAAAGAGTTGTCTTACAATAATTTCTCCTCCTACTCGAGATAACTTTTACACTCTGTCCCGTTACATCTCAAAAGTTGCACTTCTCCACCGAGTTCCATGTTAAAACTCAGTCAGTCGGCTTTGTCACTGCAGCTGCCTAGTGTCACAACTCACTACAGTGTTAATTGGCACAAACAATTATGAATGCCGTTTCTTAAGTACTCAATGCATTTCCCAATTCCTTAAATTGTCCAGATAAAGTGCACTGAAGAAAACATAAACCAAAAGTCAGTAACATGGACATAAGAATTAGTGCTAATAGAAGTGAATTAGATGAGTGATTTTTTTAAACCTTTAGTACGCATAACTGAAATACTCATGTATCATTCACAAGATGCTTGTATCACAGAGGGCACTGAAACATAAACTAAGTCTAACATGAAATACCTTGGAGATGTTATTACTTCATAAGATGAGATACAATAATGTACGAGATGCTGCGAATTCAACACTGAAACATTAATACTGTTTTCGAACGAAGCAAATTATTACTGTTGCACCTCGCTGCAGTGTTAATCTGCTTATACCCTTATTATTGCTGTATCCTAAGTATTGCACTCATTTTCTCATTTCCTTGCACTGTGTAAATAGGGTGCAACGAAGAAGTTACAGTGAACTATAAGTAGGTAACGCTGACTCAAGAAATGGTAGCAGTCGAAAGAAATGAAATGAGTTGAAGACCTTGTAATAATACTAGTAATCTCCCTTATTCCAAAACAGTACTTGACTTATTTACCTATGCATTTTAACGTGTCTTCTAATTATCTTATTTTTGTCTTTGTAGACATTGCCTAAGGTGCCGTTGTACGGATCTTCTGGAAGCAGTCTTTAATTTCATCTACCTTCCGCGAAGTTTGACGTACGAAAAGTCGAAATTTTACTGACTGGAAAACGCTACAATTGGTGTTACTCATGCGGCGATACGCCAGACTAGACACGTTATAGCAACGTATGCCTGTAATAACATTACCTACATAGTAAATACAATGCTAGTTACAAAAACTCGTCATTATCTTTTCATTGCGTACTTACAAGAAAAAAACGTTCACCTTACTTCTCATACTAAGTACTGGAGATTCCGCCTAGTACTCACTTTTACTTGCTCTCTAGAAAATGCTTTCTACTATATTCGCAAATGACTATTAGACTTCTGTCACATGAAACGGTAAAACATAAGGCGTATGCAGTTTAGAAGTTAGGGTATATTTGCATTTATTGACACAAAATTTATGTACATCTTCCATTATTATACAAGAAAGTTCTCAAAGTAATTCAGAGTTGCTCGCAGTGCACTAATAGTATATTCATTACTATAATTATCCTGCATAACTGCGAAGCTTCTGTTCAATTGCCTGCGAAGTTGCAGTATCTCCATGCAGGGTTTCTTCACTGAACCTTCACACGGCACACGACTTGGTAGCAACGGATCCTGCCAAAACCATCTGCGACACAGGCGAATTACTTTGTCAACTAAAAATATTAATTTAAATATTACTAAGAGTTTGATTTACCTGTAAACTGAGGAATTTGAGTGTGACATAGCAGCATATGCCGGCAAGGTATTCTTTGTGCCCTAAATATTCTGCAGGTACAAGTAGAATTGGTATAATCCACTTGGTGCAGGTATATGCCGTCACCACCTCTCCATATTTCCGATATAACTGAACCTGTGATTCCAGGGCGAAGCAAATTCTGCTGGTTATCCCTGTATTCGAATCCACGTATTCAACCACCTGACCACTTTGCCTTATTATGCGCATAACATCTGATCTCAAAGGCATGGCTTCAAAAATAACTTTAAACTACTTCAATTACCTGGTCTCACATCCTTACGTAAATTATACACATCTGTGCTCGTCAAAACTTTATTAAAATTCTCTTCAGCATATTCCAAAACATCAGCAACCTCAGATGTAGTCTTCACAACTGGTGCAATATTCTCGTTTTCATCCCCGGACAGGCGTCTAAAATATGGATCACCTATCATAAGACTTTTTTCACATCTGTGATTGTGAACTGTTTTCGCGGAAGAAATGATAAACTCGTCCTCCTTGTAGCGTATACGAAAGCCAGATTGGCAACCGGTGTATTTTGCACTGCAGAAATAAATAATAGAATTCTTACGGTTTGACGCGTAAACCTGAACCTCTAGTTTTTCGCTTCATGCTATATGTACAACGAAAGACTACTAATTTGTACTTCAAATCCTGAGATTCATGGTCCCGTATGCACTTTTTGATTACATAATGTGTATGAGTTGCCTAGGAATACTCTGTCATACATATATACATATATTACTGATTCCAGCTGACTTAGAGCATCTTCTACTTGAACCCAACTGGTATACCGGTGACTAAACATAATTCCGTCAAAAAGGTTTTTGATATCCACTGATATAAGAAGGGCAGGTTGGTCGCCATTGTCTCCAAGTGCCAATGCGTCCATTCGGTACCACTGTAAATGAAAACAGAAGCTTGTCAATAAAAAATTCATGAATAGCCAACAGAGTACAGTAAGCAACTTAAAAGAGACATTGACTTGGAAACTATAGCGGAAAAAAATATAAATTCCTTACCACAGTTACCGTTTTGGAAAGTTCCTGATTATAGCCATAAACATTTACTGAAACACTCGTGAACGACAAATATGGACACAAGTGATGAAACGAAGCTCTACAGAAATCATTGAGACGCCACAAACAGGAGGATTTTAGGTGCACCCTATAATTTTCACATGAAACACATTCTCAAGCATCCTCCTGCACCATAAGTGCCTTCAGGCCTAGAGGCAGCTTTTGACGACTATTCTTAACAAAATCAATACAGTTCAAGCCAAACAGAAACCAGAATCACGTCAAATGCAGCTACCTAGATCTAACGGAACAAATCAGCCAAACTGAAATCAACTAGACCGCGCAAATGTCCTCAAGGTAAAGCTGGAGGCGCCACTTCAAACAGGGGATATGCCTTATCAACGCCCCCACGGCCTCCTCAGCGAGTGTCCAATCCATCCATCTCCACCTTCTCCTGCATATTTGTTGGGCGATTGGTTCTTGTTTTGTTTGTTCCCATAGCTTCTTGTTTGTGATTCTTTCCGGCCATCTAATCTTCAGTATAGAGCGAAGACAGTTGTTGATAAAGGTCTGCAACAGGCTGTTGGAAATAAATATTCTTTGTGACCCGCCGCCAAGTTTCTGATCCATCCGTATAGAAGAACTGACTGACTTGACGTTTGTATTGAAAATCCGAATTTTGTTGTTGATGCAGGCTGAGTGACGAAGATTTCCAGATTGGTTTCAGGTTGATGAATGTGTTTCTCGCCTTCCCGATTCTCGATTTGACATCCTCGTTCGTTCCTCCTGTAGTTGAGACAATGCTCCCTAGATGAGTGAATGAAGTACCCTGTTTCAAATCCCTGCTGTTGATGGTGATTGGCGCTGGATGTTGCTGCTGTTGTTGTTGTTGTTGTTGGTTGGTTGGTTATTTTCATAACCTCCGTCTTGTCTATGTTCACCTGGAGTCCTGTCTTCTCTGGCTGCTTCTTCGGCCAGTTTGTCGGTTTTCGCTTGTAAGTCTTCGGTTCTGTGTGACATCAAACATAAATCATCCATGCGCGAAATCCAGGTCTTCTAGGTACTTCACGTCGGTCCAGGATATCCCTGTCTTCTCGTTTCCCACTGTCTGACGCATAATCCAGTCCACCACAATTAGGAATATCATTGGTGATAATAAACACCCTTGTCTGACTCCTGTGTTTACTCCAAACGCCTCGCTGAGTTTTCCGTTGTGGATCACTTGATATGTGCCGTTGTCGTACAGCTGTTGAATAAGGTTGATGAATATTTGGGGTACGCCGTAGTACTCGAGTAGTTTCCAAATTACTTCGCGGTCAACGCTGTCTGTCGAAGGCCTTCTCAAAGTGTATGAAGTTGAGGTAGAGGTTTGATTGCCATTCCATGCTTTGTTCTGTGATGATGATGCGTAGAGTTGCAGTTTGGTCAGAACATGATTTGCCTTTCCTGAATCCAGGTTGTTCTGGTCGGAGTTCTGTATCCAGTGTGTCCTTTATTCTCTCCAGGATGATGTGACTCAGGATTTACTTGGCGTCTACAGGAGCATGATTCCTCGCCAGTTCTTGCAGAGTCCTAGGTCGCCCTTCTTTGGTAGTTTCACGAGTCAGTAGGCAGCTTCCCTCCTTCCAGACCTTTTGCAATGATGGAGTCAGCATATCTACTGTCGTCTCTGGGTCCGCTTTCGGTGCTTCAGGGGGTATTCCATCTGGTCCAGCTGCTTTTCCAGCTTTCAGAAGCTTGATTGCATTCAAGACTTCAGCTTTCGTTGGAGGATTGGTGTCAACTTGCAGTTGTGTACGTGCTGTTGTTGGTATTTCTGGACGGGTTGAAGGTGGTGGTCGGTTCAAGAGTCCTTTGAAATGGTCCGCCCATTGTTTAATCTGTCTTTCTTCTTTGGTAATTGGGTTCCCTTGGCTGTCTTTCATAGGTTTCACTTGTGTTGATCTCTTCCCGGATAGAGACTTGGTTATCTGATATAGTGTCCTCAGGTCCCTTTTGCCTGCTGCATTCTCAGCTTCAGTAGCCAGGTTGTCGTAGAATTGTCTTTTGTCCTTCCTGGCACTCTTCTTCACTTCTTTGTCCAGTGCTGTGTAAGTTGAGCTCAGCGTCTCTTTCTCTTGTCCATCTTTGCATTGAATCATTTTCTCTTTCACCATTCTCCTCTCCTCTATTGGCTTCCAAGTGTCCGTTGAGAGCCATTCCTTGTCTTGTCTCTTCTTTCTTCCTAAAACCGTTGAGCACGTTTCGTTGAAAATCACCTTCAGAGAGTTCCAATGGTCTTCCACGGATGATTCCTGAGTGGTGCCACGTAGTGTTTCCTGCTTTGCTCTGACAGTTGCAGTGAAAGTGTCCTTTGTGGTTGTGTCCTTCAGTTTGTGAGTGTTGAACTTGCATTGTGGCCTATCATCAGGTATCCTCGAGGCTTTCAGCTTCACCTTGAAAGTCCCTTGTACTAGATAGTAGTCTGAACCCACATCTGCTCCTCTCCTCGATCTTGTGTCCAGTAGGCTCCGTCTCCACTTCCTTGAGATTGAAATGAAGTCTATCTGGTTTGTGGTGTGTTCATCTGGTAAAATCCATATCGCCTTGTGTATATCCTTGTGTTTGAACACACTGCCACCAATCACCAAATCATTGAAGGCGCAGAAGTCTGAGAAGAGTTCACCATTGTCGTTCATTTCAACGAGGGCCTCGCGACCCATGGTGTGTTCTCTTCCTGTATTATCTCCTCCTAGCTTCGCATTCATGTCACCCATCAGGATTTTGATATAGCTCTTTGGGACGTTGTCCATTACTGTTTGTAGTTGACTGTAGAAGTCCTCCTTCTTCTCATGTTCTGAGACGTTTGTAGGCGCGGAGAATTGAATGATTGTAACCTTCCTTCCTTTTGAGTTGAACCTGGCTGTCATTATCCTGGAGGAGATTGGTTCCCATTGCATGACAGCTTTAACCGCTGTTGGTGACATCATGATGGCTACTCCCTCGGTGTGCTCGTGATTGTCCTCTGGGTGACTGGAGTAGATTACTGTCTCTCCAGTTGGTGGTTGGCACCTTCCAAATCCGTTCCATCTGCTCTCGCAGATTCCCAACACTTCTATTTTATATCTTCTCATTTCTGCGGCTACCTGGGCAGCCTATCCAGTTTCGTACATTGTACGAATATTCCACGTCCCCATCCTTATTTTTGCTTTCATCGAAAGAAGGCATGCACATCGGCTGACTGGCTTCCCGAAGGCTTTCACCAGCCTGCATCATTTCACCTCCCCGATTCCAGCGAAAATACAGGTTATTGTTTGTACTTTTAGAATTTTTAATATGTTTGTGCGTTGAAGTTTTTGTAGCAATTTGGTTAAGTTTTTGGGGTGGAGATACTAGCACCACGCCCCAACCCTCCTTCTTTATCCGGGCTTGGGACCGGCTAGAATACTAGTGACCTAGTAATCTGGGCGAGGTTGTCGTAGCTACAGTTAACTTTAAAACGAGTAGTGCTGGCATTAATTATATGTAGGTTATAGTATATGGTGTGTTAAGACTTTGTTGCTACTGTGAATGGAGTTGACCATATCACCAGTTAGTCCTCCGGTACCGCTGTCAGAAGAAAAGAGATGATAATAATAATAGGGCTGGACTTATCCGGCATGTTGGTTGAAATTTCGCTCGGTAAATTTTTTTGTCAATAATTTTCAATAAAATTGTGTTATGTGTTTTCTGGATTGATAGGAATTCTCATTTTCTGGCTTGTTTTGTTGGTGTCCGCGTCATGTAATCCGACTGCGACACACTCTAAGCAGATTGGTTGTAATGGTTAGCGTTTCATGCGGAATAAGTCAAAACATCGCTATAATGAAGAAGATGGGGTAGTTAAAGGGTAATGTCATCTACACAAATAGTTCACTTCTTGTAGAAGCTGCAGCTTTCGACATAGTGCCATTCAATGAAGACCACGTCAAAATGTGGCTATTTTCGTGTGAAGAACGGTACTATTTGACAATAGAATGGTATCAGTACATGGGAATCACCTATAAATGCTAAGAGAGCCGTCTGTGGGAGCAGGAGTTATCATGTAGATGAGTCTTTCACTATGTGTGTTTGGACAGGAATTATGGTAAGTTGAAAGGTTATCTCTAAGTGGATTTAATGTATATTTACACTGATTGGCGCAGTATAATGTGGGTTATGTGAATTCAATGTATAAAAGAAACCTCTTAATTTTGTGCCGTTGTTTGCTTGGCTGACTTCTAGGCTAACAAATGTAGGGGGTTCTCGTGATTGTTGCAAATGCAGTGCATTTGAGAAAGCAATAACTCGTTCAATCTTCCTTACCGTTTCACTTAATGCATTAATTCAGTGTGTGGTATGATTATACACATGGATTGTGTTCATTCTGAAAACTGAATCTAGTTAGATCTGTTGTTATCAGTCTATTGTGTGTTACACCATTCCCACTGACACTGCAAACTTAATGCTGCAAAAGTTTTGATCAGCAATAGTGGAGATGAATTTATGCTGAAATATCCGTTTACATAAAGCAGTACAGATGTAGTGTCACGATTGAATGTCTAGCTTGCATTATATAGCATTGTTATCCTCATCAACACAGCAGTTCTGTGTATCTTGAAATATTTTAAGTGTTTCTCTATATTGTTAACACTATTCAAAGCTGTTTCGAGTTGTGGCATGTTCAGCTTATATGTGATATCTATAGTCTCCTAAATATGATCATATAATTTCCGAAGGCTTCGTGAAACCATGTTCACTAGAAATTACGGAGATTGTGGATTAATTTCCATGTTACATATTAGGAATACTTCCTTTAATGTAAACGTAATTGTCGGGAAGTTGATCTGCAAGTAATCCTACTGAGACAATAAAATAAATAAATAAATTTATTCTCATAGTACAGTACATGAGGGACGCCAGTTTACAGGCATCATCAAATTGCTACAGGAATAGAACCGTATAATTCAATCACAATTTACAGGCAGTAGCAAGATATGCTTTACATGTTCGCTGGAGATTATACACACACTTGATAAATGTTAATCCCAGTAGTATAAAACAGCATTTTCACTTATGTACAATCATTTCTGTGCAAAGTTGGAAAAATCTGCTAGATTGTCAGTGAGTGCAACACAACAGGAAATACAGAAGTATTGTCTTCGCATTAACAAAAAAACCAGGTCTTTGGTGGATGGATTATAAGTGCCCGGGAAAAAAATAAAGCTTGAAGTAAATATTCATACATAACTTCGTTGTGTGCTGAGTCCTCGAATTATAGTTCATTGATGTGTTATTTTGAAATCGGTGATATGTTTATCTCATTTGATCTGCAATGTCATTGTTGGGAGTAAG